CTGACATGGACTGCATATTTCCACTTTGGTGGAAAAAACATGGTGTCTGCTTGTCTGTCGACCTGATGAGGTTTAGAACCAGGAACGATTCTATCTAGGTTTGCTGAAGGTCAAATAAGCTCAAGTTAAAATGGTGGTTAATCTTGTCTCTCTCAAAGTTTTCAGGGGGTAATTGTTAAGAAAGTTTTGCTTGGATGACAAATGGGATTACATCTAGGTCTTTTCCAAATAGGATAAAGTGCTAAAGCATTGATTACCAGACAGATTTGTGCTTTTAAAGGATATTTGGGTCTGTTGGTAAAAAAAATGGTGGTTAATCTTATCTCTCTTAAAGTTTTCATGGGTAATTGTTAAGATAATTTCCAAAGTTTCTGGTAAATGATATTTGGGTCTCTTGGTAAAGATGATGCTGTCAACCCAAACTCAGGAAGAAAACACCAACAGTTTTCTTAGAAAAATTGAGAGAGGTCTCATTATCTCCCCAGTTCTCCCAAGGCGGAGATCATTCTTAAAGCCCAGATATTCGGGAAAAAACTGCAAAAGTTGGCTGTTGGCCCCAAAGGGACCCTGGAAGAGCTCTAATGAGTTGTCAACAGGTCTTTTACAGTCAGGACCAAGAGAAGAGTGAGGAACAGAAGCTAAAGAGAAGTCTGAGGCTTTGGTTGTGGCCTTGCATGCTGTTGCCAGCTTGGCCTCCCAAGGCTCTGGTACCAAATGCCATCTCTGTGGCCACCCGGGACACTGGAAGTGAGAATGCCCCCAATGGCAAAAACCAAGGCCATGTAACCCTTGTCCCACTTGTGGAGGTGGACACTGGAAATCTGAATGCCCTCAGGGACCTCAATCTGTGAGGGCTCAAGGGGCCAGCACCCCTGATTGGGACTGATGGGGCCCGGGGCTCTACATGGTGGCTCCTCTGAAACAGCTCACCATAGGGCACCCAGAGTCTCAGGTAATTTTGGAAATAGAAGGAAAACCAGTCAATTTCCCTCTTGATACTGGAGCCACTTTTCTGTTCTACTCTCTGCCCTAAGGCCAACTGTTCAATCAGTGTTGTTGTTAAGGGTGTCACGGGGTGACCCATAAGCCAAATTTTTGTCTTGCCTTCTGGGATGCACCTGGGGAGATTCAATTTTCCCTCACTCTTTCTTAATGCCTAAGAGCCCTACACCTTTCTTAGGTAGAAGTATTAACTCTCATATTGATAGCCCCTGGGCAGACTAGCAGTTGCCTCCCCTTAATAAAGGCTGATATTAATCCCCAGGTCTGCACAACTCAGGCTGAAATGCTTTGGGCCTCAACAGCAGTGCCCATTCTCATACACCTTAAGGACCCCACAACTTTCCCTTGCTGGAAAGGTTTTTTGGGCATAACAGGACACTGGATGACAGGTGCAGGGAGGGTTAATCAGATTGAAACAGCCCACTAACAAGCCCATAAAAAACACTAGACTTAGAAACTCTGGTGGCAACCCCTTTGGGTCCCCTCCCTCCTCAGGAGAATTGTAATCACTTTGCTGTCACTCAATAAACTTTGTTTTGCTGTCCAAAAAAAAAAAAAAAAGAACACTCCTTCCAACAACAGAAAAATATACATATTCTTCTCAGGTTGGCATGGAGTATGGCCCAAGATAGACGACATTCTGGGCTATAAACATACCCATTAGAATTTAAAAAAAAAATAGAAATCATACAAAGTATGTCCTTTGATATCAATGGAATTAAACTGGAAATCAAAAATAGCAAGATGGTTTGAAATCTAAAAATATTTAGAGACTAAATAGCATATAAATAACACATAGACCGAAGAAAAAGTTTTAAGAGAAATTTTTAAATATTTGAACTTAAACGACAATGAAAATAAAACATTAAAATTTGTGAAATGCAGCAAAAGCAGTGCTTAAAGGGAAATTTATAGCATTAAATTGCCTAAATTAGAAAATTAGAAAGACCTGAAAACTGATAATCTAAGTTTCCTCCTTAAGAAACTTAGGTGATTGAGTGAGAGAGAGAATATGTGTGTGTGTTGGGGGGGGAGGAATATAAGCCAAAAACAGGCAGAAGAAAAGAATAATTAAATGAGAGCAGAAATTAGTAAAATAAAAATCAGGAAATCAATATAAAAAAACCAACAAAATTAAAACTGATTCTTTGAAAAGCTCAATAAAGTTTATAAACCTATCAGCTAACCAAGAAAAAAAGAGAAGACATAACTTACTAATATAAATAAAAGAAGGCTAATCACTACTGATCCTATGAATATTAAAAGGATAATAAAAAAAATTTTTAAACAACTCTATGACCCCAAATTTGATAACTTAGATGAAATGGACTGATTCCTTGAAAGATACAAACTACCAAACATGATACAAAGAGAAAGAGATAACTTCTATATCTGTTAAAAAAATCAAGTCAAAATACCAGGCCCATATGGTTTTACTGATGTATTTTACCAAACATTTAAGGAAGAAATGATACTGGTCCACCATAGTCTTTCTAACTCATTTCAAAAGGCCATTCTACTACCAAAACTAAATAAAGTCATTGAAAGAAAGGAAAACTGAAAACCACTATCTTGCATGAACATAAATGTAAAAATATTCAACAAAATATTAGCGAATCAAATTCAACAATATATAAAAATCATTATACAACATGGACCAAGTGATATTTATAGCAGGCAGGCATGACTGAAATCAATCAATGTAATCCCCCACATCAACAGGCTAAAGAAGAAAAAGCATATGATATCATCAACTGATGCAAAAAATGCATTTGACAAAATCCAACATCCATTCACAATTAAAAAAAAAACCTCTCAACAAACTAAGAATAGAGGAAAACTTCTTCAACTTGAATAAGAACATCTACAAAAACCCTATAGGTAACATCATACTTATGCTACGAAACTGGATGCTGCCTCCTTAACATTGGGGAGAAGGTAAGAATGTCCCTTCTCACCACGTCTATTCAATGTTGTACTGGAAGTCCTAGCAAGTACAATTAAGACATACATATATATCAAAAGAAGAATTAAAACAGCTCTTTTCTGCAAATAACTTAATTGTCTATATATAATATCCCAAAGAACTGACAACAAAACTCTTGAAACTAATAAGCAATTATAGTAAGGTTACAGGATATGAGGTTTATACATGAAAGTCAATTGCTTTCCTACATACCAGAAATGAACAATTGGAATTTGAAGTGAAAAATACAATACCATTTACAATACCACCAAAAAAAATGAAGTACATAAGAATAAACCTAATAAAATATGCAGAGTTTGTATATTTGTGAAAAACTACAAAATTCTGATTAAAAAATTAAAAATATATCTAAATACATGTAAAGGTATTCCACAGTCATTGACTGGAAAACTCAATATTGTTAAGATTTCAATTGTTCCCAATTTGACCTATAGATTCAAAGCAAATCATTACCCAACTAGCTATTGTATGGATATAAGGAAACTGATTCTAAACTTTATATGGAAAGACAAAAGACCTGGAGTAGCCAACAAACCACTAAAAAAGAAGAATAAATTTTCAGGACTGACATTAACTTCAAAACTTACTAATCTACAGTAATCAGAACAGTGTGGTACTGCCAAAAGAATAAACATTTGGATCAATGGAAAAGAAAAGAGAGCCCAGAAACAGACCCACACAGATATAGTCAAACGATCTTTGACAGAAAAGTAAAGGCAATTCAATGGAGAAGGGAGAGTCTTTTTAACAAACAGTGCTGGAACTAGAAACCCACATTGAAAAAAAGAAGAATCTAGACAGTCTTTATACCCTTCACAAAAATCAAATCAAAAGGGATCGTAGACCTAAATGTAAAGTGCAAAACCATAAGACATCTAGAAGAAAACATAGGAGAAATTTTAGGTGTTCTTGGGCCTGGCAAGGTATTTTTAGATGCAATACAAAAGCACATCCATGAAAGAAAAATGTTGGACTTTATTAAAATTAGAAACTTATGCTCTGTGAAAAATACTACAAAGTGAATGAAGACAGGCCCCAGACTGGGTGATAATATAAGCAAAACACATATGCGATAGAAGACTTGTATTAAAAATATACAAATAAATCAAAACTCAACCATAAGAATACAAGCAATGCAAGCAGAAAATGGGCAAAAGATCTGGAAACCTCGCTATAGGGAACATAAGGATGACAAATAAGCATATGAAAATACGCTTAACATCACTTGTTATTAGAGAATTGCAAATTAAAACAACAACAATATATCACTACATACTTATTAGAATGGCTAAAATCCAAAACCTGATAACACCAAATAACACAGTTACATATTTAGAATTAAGAACTATAGACAAATTTCTTACAATTGCTCTGTTCAAACAAGTGAACCATTAAGAAGGGGCTGAAGACTTGGGGAGGAAGTCCATTTTTCTCTGAAACCTAAAAAAAAAAAAAAAAAATTCTTTGTATCTAGGGAATAAAAGCAGATATGGAACGTATTTGGTTATAGTACTGGGTAGAGTATACACACACACAATTTCTATTTTTCTGATATGGAAAGTAGGGATTAGGCAATATATTTTGAACCAAAAGTAGCAAATAGATACTGCTGAGCCACAAAAAGCCACAAGTTCTCAAATCTTTGATTACCAAAACTGTCAGAAGGCAACAAGACCAACCATTCAGAACATAAGATGTGACAATGTAAGTTATGTGGTTGTGTGAAATGACCAAAGTGGCATTAAATCATTTATGGTTCTCCTCTTCCTTCCCTTCTAAGGCATCATTTTCATTCAGGCTTCCTGGGGTCCTTTATTTCCCTAAGTAGGACTAATGGATGAAGAAATTTGGAAGGTCATTATTAATTAGCTTTAGATTTAAAAAGGCATGGAAAACTGGACAATAAAAGCAAGAACTTGTATTCATCAAAAAATTACTAATAAGAGTATAAAGCAGCACATGAAATGGGAAAATATATTCATAATAGTATATCTTTAAAAAATCTATTCTCATACTCATTTTGGCTGCACATACACTAAAATCAGAATGATACAGAGAAGACGGGCATGACTCCTGTGCAAGGATGACATACAGCTTCATAACACATTCCATAGTTTTGAAAGTTGCTAAGAGAGTAAATCTTAAAAGGTCTCATCACAAAAAAAAAAAAAATTTAATCCTGTAACTGTGTATGGTGATGAATGTTTTAAAAAAAAACTACCTTGAATATATAAAGAGTTCCTATAGATCAACAGGAAAAGAGCACACAAATCCAGTACAAAATGGGCAAAAATTGCTGAACACTTTACAAAAGAAGATATCCAAAAAGCCAATGAAGATAAGAAAAGTTCAACTTCACCACTCATCACAGAAATGCAAGTGAAAACCACAAAGAAGTTCCACTACCGTAATCATGAAAAGGAAAACAAACCAACAACAATGGAAAATAAATGTTCGTGAGAATGTAGAACAATCAGAATGCTCATATACTACTTTACAAGATTAATTAGTACAACTACTTTGTTAAACTGGCAGTATCTGTTAAGGCCCAAGTTGAGAAGAAGGAGTTAAAACAACTGGGTTTTGATCCAATCAATACACTAAGGAAAAGTCCTTGAAAGAAAGGCTCTTGGGGTCATCCAATCTAATCTTCTTCATAAATGGACTTGTGGATAAATAGACTAATGATATTTGCTAGAAGAAGTGACCTTATCTCTGAAATGCCCTTGTCAGGATGTCTTAGTTAAGGATTATCTATAGCAAAAGAACCCAGGGTATATGAGAAATGGCCCTCTGGAGGGTTTTACCTAAGCTACACAGCTCTCTGGCTTCATAATTTAAATGCTCCTGCTGTGTGAAGTGACTTGCAGATGTAGCATAGAGATTTTATCTATTATTCTGAGCCACATGTTGGACAGAAAAAGACAGGTCCTAGGAAACTTTGATGCCTCTCTCTGCTCTTCCTGAAATTGTCTATTGCCTTCAAATTGAAATTATTTAATAAAGTTTGCTAAAGGATAAGATCTCTGTGACTTATGCGGGTCTGATTTGATAATTCCATCCTGTTTGTTAGCTTATACAATTAGACCCAATAATCCCACTTATGGGTAAATGCCAAGCAGTAATCATTCACATGTTCAGCTAAGACCCAGAACTGTTATATTCATTCTTAATGGCCACAAACTGGAAAATATCTAAATGCCTATAAAGAAAAATGGACAAATAGTGGAATGGTCACACAATGGAATGCTATTCAGCAACTAATAACTTCAACTACATGAATTAGTATGGATGCAATTCAAAAACATAATGTTGATTGAATTAAGCCAGACTCAAAGGTATGGTGTGTTTCTAAAAGCATAAAAACAGGCAAAAGTAATCTAAGCTGTTAAATCAGGCAATATTACTCTTGTTGGGGGCTAGTCTCTCAAGATTAGGTTTGTATAACTTTCAGTAGTTTTTAAAACCACATTATTTATCTATTCAGTGTGACAAAATGTGGAGATTACTGATGAGATGGGAACAAGAACATATTAGAATTATCACTGAAAAAAAAAAACTGAAGAACAGATATAAGTGAAAAAGACTTTAGATATAGCAGGTCATCTAACTGTTGATATTTGTTAACTTTGGTATTTTGGTTTTAAGAAAATATCCTTGTATAGAGTTTCTAATAAAAAAAGATAAAAACAGAGAGGGAGGCAAACCATAAGAGACTCTACAGGTAAGAGAACAAACTGAGGGTTGCTGGAGGGGAAGTGGGTGGGGGAGACAGGCTAAATGAGTGATTGGTATTAAGGAGGGCACTTGTTGGGATGAGCACTGGGTGTTATATTAAGGGATGAATCACTGAATTATAGTCCTGAAACCAATACCTCATACTATATGTTAACTAACTTGAATTTAAAGATTTAAAAAAGTTGATACTGTCATGTTTTATCCCATATTGTTAGCAAATATTCAACTTTATTTTTTAGTATCTCCTAAGAACCTTAAAACATTATTGCTAAATTAAGAATTCCAAATATATATTCCTCCCATCTGTAATAATGACAGTGGTGATGATGATGGTAACAATTGTAACAAGTATGCCTTAAACCCCCAATCTATAAGATATTGTGGCTAAACCCTCTAATACAAGTGTTCTCAATTTGGAGTCCAGTAAAATTCAGGAATGCATAAATTTAAATGGGAAAAATTATGTATTTTCAATAAGCTTTAACTGAAATTTAGCACTTCTTTCAATAGAAATTTAGCACTTCCTTCAAAAGAAATCACAAATATTTTCATCACACATTGCACTTACAACATATATCCTGAAATACTTGTTTATGCTCATCACTACATTGAAATTATGAATTATTAGATTCAGCATCAGATCTTGTTATTTAATGTGTAGAGACTCATGTATACTACTATGTCACATGATCTTTAATAATTTGATGACTTTATTTCAAAATGATTGGTTGGCTTCTTTATGATTCTATATATTTTATTTTATAGATTGAAAAAAATGTTATTTTCTTTTTTTTTAAAGATTTTATTTATTTATTCATGAGAGACAGAGAAAGAGAGAGAATGAGGCAGAGGGAGAAGCAGGCTCCTGGGATCATGACCTGAGCTGAAGGCAGACATTTAACCATCTGAGCCACCCAGGCGCCCAAAAATGTTATTTTCAATTGCACCAAAAGGGTCCATGGCAATAAACAGTTAAGAACCCCTACAATATCTCATTTAATTCTTACAACCTTATGATATTGATATCATTCTCATTTTAGAGCTAAAGGAAATGAAGCAGGGAAAGTTGAATGACGTTCCCAAGTTCAGAAGACTAGTAAATCCCAGAACTAGAATTAGAACCTAGATCATTTGGCTTTAGAGCCTGTCCTTTTCACCACTGGTCTATGTAGCCTGTTAGGAATTTAAATTCTAGCACAGTGACTTTCAAACTGTTGTCTACAGAGGTCTTGGGTTGCTTGTATATGCCCCCGGGTATGTCATAAGAAGCAGGAGAACCCAAACTTCAGGCAGAGTGGCCCTTTGTTGATAGCTTGGTGTTCAACTTAAAATTTTGTATTTAAGCAACTATTAACAGACAAAGGAAGAAATCAGTAGCAAAGCAATAATAGGAGGGGACTTTAATACCCATTTACATCAATGGATAGATCAGTCAGACTGAAAATCAAAAAGGAAACAGTGGCTTTGAATGACACATTGGACCAGATGGATCTAACAGATATACTCAGAACATTCCATTCCAAAACAATGAAACACACATTCTTTTCTGGGGCACATGGAACATTCTCCAGAAGAGTTAACATGTTTGGCCACAAAACAAGTCTTAATAAATTGAAAAGGATTGAAATCATATAATGCATCTTTTCCAGAAACAATGGTATGAAACTACCAATCCATCACAAGAAAAAATCTGGAAAGAATACGAATAACGAATACATGGAGGTTAAATAACATGCTACTAAACAATGAATGGGTCAGCCAAGAAATCAAAGAGAAAATAAAAACATATACAAAGAAAAATAAAAATGAAAACACAATAGTCCAAAATCTTTGGGATGAATAAAAGCTGTTCTAAGAGGGAAGTTTATACCAATACAGGTGTACCTCAAGAAGCAAGAAAAATCTCAAACAACCTAACCTTACACTGAAATGAGCTAGAAAAAGAAGAACGAACAAAATCCAAAATCAGTAGAAGAAAGGAAATAAAAAAGATTATACCACAAATAAATGAAATAGTGACAAAAAAGCCAATAGAATATATCAATGAAAACCTTTAGCCAGACTCATCTAAAAAAGAGAGACAGAGAAAGAGTGAAAGAAGACTCAAATAAAATGAGAAATGAAAAAGGAGAAATAACAACAGATACACAGAAATACAAAGGGTAATAAAAGAATATAATAAAAAAATTATACATCATTAAACTGGAAACAACCTAGAAGAAATGGATAAATTCCTAGAAACATATAACTTTCCAAAACTTAGCCAAGAAGAAATAGGAAATTTAAACAGACCAATTACTGGCAATCAAACTGAACCAGTAATTAAAAAAATGCCTAAAAACAAAAGTCCAGGACAAGAGAGTTTCATAAGTGAAGCTACCAAACATTTAAAGAAGAGTTACAAACCATAAGAGACTCTTAATTTTAGGAAACAAACTGAGGGTTGCTGGAAGGGAGGGCAATGGGGGGATGGGGTGGCTGGGTGATGGACACTGGGAAGGGTATGTGTTGTGATGAGCACTGTGTATTGTGTAAGACTGATGAATCACAGACCTGTACCCCTGAAGCAACACATTATACATTAATTAAAAATAAATAAATAAATAAATAAAGAGTTAATACCCATTCTTCTCAAACTATTCCAAAAAATAGAAGAGGAAGGAAAGCTTCCAAATTCATTCTATAAGGCCAGCAATTCCCTGACACCAAAACAAGATAAAGACACAACAAAAATAATGAAAACTACAGGCCAAGATCTCTCATGAAGATAGATACAAAAATCCTCAACAAAATATTAGCAAACCAAATCCAACAATATATTTAAAAAAAAATCATTCAACATAATCAAGTGGGACTTATTCCAGGGATGTAAGAGGGTTCAGTATTTGCAAATCAATCGACATGACACATCACATTAGCAAGACAAAGGACAGAAAACAGTGATTATCTCAGTAGATGCAGAAAAAGCATTTGACAAAGTACAACATCTATTCATGATAAAAAAAAATTTTTGACATTTTAGGTTTAGAGGGAACATACCTCAACATACTAAAGATCACATATGAAAAACCCACAGCTTACATCATATTCATTGGTGAAAACCTGAGAGCTTTCCCCATAAGATCATGAAAAAGACAAGGATGTCCATTCTCACTACTTTTATTCAACATAGCAGTGGAAGTCCTAGCCACAGCAGTCAGACAACAAAAAGAAATAAAAGGCCTCCAAACTGGTAGGGAAGAAGTAACATTTTCACTATTTGGAGATGACATGATACTATATATAGAAAACCCTAAAGACTCCACCAAAAAAACTACTAGAACTGATAAATGAAGTCAGTAAGTTCACAGGATACAAAATCAATACACAGAATACAAATG